CCCCAAAACCCCAAAACCCCAAAACCCCACTTTCGCAAAGTTAAATGTATAAAATACTAATCTGATCAAAAATTTAGATCATTTCTGTTCAAACATGTCTAAACTTCGTATTTACCTTCATGGTTGTAAATCTCAATTTCATTTAGAAAAGTTCCTTTTGGAACTTTCTTAGGTGTGATGATGAATAAATTCTCCAAAGCTTTAGAGAGATACTCCTTCGTCTCAAATTTGAGATTCCTCACTTTGAAGTAGTTTTTGTGTTTGTTTCACTCAGCATGAAAAGATTTGAGATGTCTGTTACTCACAATAGCTTGGATTAGAGAAAATCTTTCTTTAAAACTCATCACACAAATGTCGGTTCTCTGAAATATGAGAGTGAGTCGACTGATATTCATTTTTAAGAGCCTTATTACTGTTTCAAGCAAAATTTTATTCATTCGAACGGTTAATCTTATTTCAGGACCTCTCGGAAGTTCAGAGATCACTTTCATAGCATCTTCAATGGCTTCTAGCTTAGACATCTTTCTTCAATTAACTGTAAATGTGGCCAAATTTCGTGGCCTCAAAATGAGAAGGTTTGGGATTCCTGAGATCAAACTTACATCTTTGTACTCAATCACTGCTGCTCTTCGTCATTCTTCAGATAGAGGATGTACCTTCAGATATTCAGTGACTTCTTCAAGCTCTAGGTCATTAAACTTAGAAGTATTTAGATAGTTCGCATCTGAAAAATCCTTGATGGTCATGAAGTCTCCATCTCTACAAAGAATAGAATCCTCTGTAAAAACAAAGTTGAAAATTAGAGTCTCCACATGAAACGCTGTAGTACTCTTTGTGTAAATATTGTAAAAATAAACATTTACATTGCTTAAAACCACAGGTTCTTCATTTCTTACTTTAAGAGTTTTCTCAAGCTCATAAGTCTTCTTGTGCTTTCCGAAACTACTTCCTTCATGAACGTACTTCTCAAAATTTTCTCTGATTCTGAACATCCCCCACTCAGAATGGAAGTCATAGAAAACAGATTCAAGAACTGGAAAGATTCTTAAGAGTTCTTGTTTAGAAGGAGAGCCTTGTTCACATTGGATCATGGTCAATTTCTCCACGCTTCGCTGCAGAGACTCTGAAGCATAAGTTGATTCATACTTCTTTAAGACATGTTCACAGCAACTGGAAGTCACGAATATTCCTATAACTTCGATTTCTAGTCCCAGAAATTCTTCAAAAAGTTCAGGTTCCTGAAAAACGTGGTCTAGTGTTCTAATTTTCTTGAAATAAGTAATCTCAATTGGTCTCTTCGGGTTCAAAATATTTGTGTACTGTAACGAGTCTTGGAATGTTCTGTCTTGTAAACCAACAGGGAGATCCAATCTAATAGCTTCAGTTGATATTCCTCTGGTTGTCAAGGCATCAAATAGAGAGTTCAATAAATCAACTTCAAAGTTTTCTTTAGATAGATGAATTTTAATTTCTGTGAATTTTAATGTCTCTGGGTACTCCAGATTTTTGATAAAATTCAAAAATATTTGGATTTGCTTAGGAGTAGATATCTTAATTCTAAGGGTATAACTCTTGTACAAAGACTCATGCCAAATAAAGTCGCAAAACTGTTGATCAAAGTAATGATGATATTCCATGAATTTCTCAGTAGCAAGCAAAAAGCCAAAGGCGTTTTTGTAATCGATCCACATTTGCCTAGTTCTTTTATTGAGAAGACTCAGCACACTCTGTCAGTCATAGTAATCTCCAAAATGTTTGGTAATGTTAGAAGCATGACTAAATTTGGTAAGTAAATCTCAAAGCTTAGGTTTAGTTTCCATTTATATGTAAAAATAACCTAAAATACATTCATTTCTATTTATAGCTTAAGCATGGGGTTTTGGGGTTTTGGGGTTTTGGGG